CAGCGTTGCCGCTCTAGCCCTTGCCTTGTTGATTGCTGTTTTTACATGTTGTCTCCAGGTCAGCCTCTGATCTAAAACAACACCCAGATACTTGAAATTACTTGCCCATTAGACCTCGTCTCCGTCAAGGTTGAGATTTCCATCAACCCTGTCTTGTTTCCTTCCAATAAGGATGGCCTGGCTCTTTGTTGCGTTCACCTTGTCGACCACCCCTTACAACTTGTAAACCCCTGTCTTGTTCTCACGCCTACGCGGATCCCCGTGTGGTCTCCTATGGACCCCTGGGGGTCCACCTGGATCACTTTGAGAACTTATGGTCTAGAGCAGTTAAGACTTAGGCCTATATATAAGCATACTTATTCCATAGGAACAGTTTAAGGGTTAAATAACCAGAAATTGATTCAAACCGAGAATAGAGACCGTAACACATGCGGCGAGACGTTCCTATGCGTTCGTATCCCAGCACATACAATTTTTGACATGCGGAGTGCAAACTTGGCAACACCGTAGGCTGAAGAATAGTAGTTGATACGTAGGCTATAGTGGATCTTGATGCTGTCAGGCTAAGTTACAGAGGCTAACCCCCGGTTGTAGCGTTCTCGCTTTAAACACTGATTATATCTTAACCGGTGTTTAAAAAAAAATCATTGCACCGTCGCAAACTAATCGTCTGTTAGTTAATCAGAGAATCACTATGGCACTTCCGCTTTTTTGGCTTAGGTTGCTATCTTCACGATTATCGAATTTTATTTCACATGATCTTTCGCAGCAACGCGGCCAGTAATATATTGGTTATGTTATATTTTATTGTGTACTCCTTGTCTTCATATATGTGTACTACATACTTATAATATATAATATATATAAGCCTTGTTCTATGCTACTGACTGCTGTACTAGCATGTACTAGACGTCGACTAACAATGCAACTCAAAGCTCTAACAAGGTCTGAAATAGCTGAAAAATCCGACCAACTCCTTCATAAACGGCTAGAACTAGCAGATTTACAGAAAAAGAAATTGGAAGGGGAATTGTTAATGATTGAATGTGCAAGAAAGCGAAAGCTTCAATTATTAGATTTACAAATTGAAATAGAAAAGAAAAAACTTAATCTCTTTTGACATTAAACTGGGTGTTTATATTAATTTTTATTGAAAAAACTTAAAAATTAAAACTCCGTACAAGGTCA